TATACATATAGAATATATATATATATATACATATAGAAGAGTGACGCTATATGTATGTATATGTATAGTCATCCGAATCCTTTGTCTATTGTCATTGAAATTCTAATATTTCAACTCATTTATTAACATTATTAGGGTATGGTAGGAAAACAAAACACGAACAAAGTTTTTGAAGTTCGACAGAATAAGTGAGAATGTACCTACTAAAATGTTATTAATTGTTTCTAGAATGAGCCTCATCTAGAATGTTCTCGAATATATAGAATTATCCTCATGTAGTATATCCTAGAATAAAGTAAACCGGAAGGATCGAGACCGTTCTGGAATATTTGAGGATCACTATGCTTGTGTAGTAGAGTAGGCTTCTGGCACTAAATTAGGGCATTTTCATATACATACTTATGTTACCACAAAACATATTGGGCATTAATAAAGCATTAATTCTTCGAGCTATGACCAGCCATGGCATTACCGCTCGCCGGGCGGTAAACACATAAGAATCGATCAGCAGGGGCTATCCCAACTCAGTGGATGATTTTCATCGCCTCTTATCGTATCTCGATGAATCCAAAGTTGAATTCTCAACTAATCAACTCCAGCAAGATAGGAACCTTCATGTCTTCCACCACCTTCTGTGCTAACTGCAAAGGAAAACACCGCCACCTATCGTGGCTGTCCCAAGGCATCTAAGAAAACTGAACCCCCAGAAACCATATCCACTCCGACCGCTTCAAGGTACCCTCACAACGACGCTCCCTGACAGTTAGAGCAACCCCCACTCCCTTTCAAAAGTCTAACGCAACCTTAAGCACCTCTTCAGCGTCAGGTGATTCCTTAAATCTGGAACAGAAACTCCAGGTCATCGTGCAAACGATGGTAGTCAATATAGTCGCCGTCCTCCAAACACCCACCTTTGGATAAAACACCCGAAACAAATAATCTTCGAGTCTCACCTTTTTCATAAACTCAAACTTTTCATCCCAAACTTCACATCCTACAAAAGGAGCCGTGAAAACGCGACGTAGCCATCCCCATTAGGAATTAGAACACAGGCCCATCTCCTTAGAAGAAATTGGCATTGAAGTGTCACTTACTTTCAGCCTCCTCAGAATCATTTCCCTATTCTCCTCCCCATCTAA